ACGTGCCTCCAGTTTTTAAAGAGTTAAATAAACAATACTGGTGAGCTACTCAAAAAAATATTCCAGCTGGTTAATGATGGCTTCATCGTCCCGTACAAGGAGATTCATAAATACACATGCTCCATAAACAGAGAGAAATCTGGATATCAGACGACGCCATTTCTAAAGGAAGGGAATTTATGATGCATCACAGTCATGGAAGACTAAAGAAAGAAATTCCCTTCGAAGACCTAATCCTCTTCCGAGTAAGTAGAGGGAAGATCAGTCTTATTTTTCTGACCATCAATTAGCTGTTCGCGCCTGCTCCTCTGGTTCATCCTGGCTAGTTTTCGCCTTTAAGCATAGCAGAGTCTCGTCTCTATAGCGCTTCCTGGCAACCTTTGCATAAGATCGCGGCTCATTTATAATTGTTGCTACCATTTCCGTTTTGGTTCAGACAATCATTTTGGGAATCTGGGTCTCATGGAAGAGTCCGAGCAGCACTAATATTAATGATATTAGAGCCAGTTTCGCCGCCTTCAATCGATGGGGTTTCGTGACAGTTTCCTATTCTTCAGGTTGGCTCTGTCTTCGCTTTATATCATTAGACGGAAAGCTTTTCTTCTGATCATCAATTTGCTTTTCGTACTTGTTCCTCCGGTTCATCCTGGCCAGCTTTAAATTTTGTGCCCCCAGATGCATATTTCTTGTTCACTACTCATCAATCATCATATCAGCCTCTTCTCTCTTCCGGCATTTTAATACGGGTTAAGACTCGGAATTTGGGTTAGAGTCCCCCACCTGCATTGGAAGGTTGGGTGGAGATTTCTCTTCTTTTTCTTAACCTATTTAGCGCTACCGTCCTTTTAAAAGAATACCAAAAATTACATAAACATTATGACAAATATTTTTGAGGCCTCTATTACGGCGTGAATTTTTAAGAAATATTTTTGGGCATATATATAAGTTATAGACTTTAAAAAAATAGTGCATTTTAAAAAAATATTTTTGGATATTCATATAAAGCGTGGATTTTTTAACCTATTTGTGGACATCCTTATAAAGCGAGGATTTTTAAAAAAATATTTTTGGACACCTATATGGATCTCTTTTTACAAATTATTTGTTGGGGCTCTCTTTGGGGATCGAAACCCCGCCATAGCGCCGCCTTAATACAGAATATAATAATAATAGATATTATGGGAATTTAGTGTGTTTCTAAAATATCTTAACATTCGGATGTATTTAATTACAAATTTCAAGCACGTCCTCAACTTCCTAAAAATTGTAATTCGATGTTTGAAATTTCAAAGCATAACAACTAATGACGCACTACTCTTGCCCATTTACGTCGGGTAATTACTTAACTACATTTGTGTACTGTTTTGTCAATAGACTCCAATGTGTCTTCTACAGTGGGTCTATCGAAAATATATTAAAAAAATAACAAATATTTCAACGATACTGTCATACATCGCAGTCGTGACATTAATGCTCGCATTTTTGTTGGACCTGACAAAAATAGCAACACTTTCGAAAGCTGTTTCTATGGCCAAATTTAGTCATACATAAAAAACTAATATTTTTGTGTTCGAAGTCGAAGTGCGGTGCGGTTTCTGCAACCGCTGATTACAATAACACAATTGCATAGCTCCATATCGATGGCAAAAATTCAAGAAATGCAAACACCTACACCCAAACAAAAAAACTTTGTTTGGTGATGATAAGATATCGAAAATTGTGAGTTCATATATATTTCAAAGCGAAGAAAGTTCAGTCACTATTAAAGAAAATATTTAAAGTATGACGACATTTCCTATGTTGAGATCAGCCAATCAACGTTCTGTTTTACAAAACTGATAACAATACTTGAGCTAAAGTACACACAGTAATTAGTCATAAAATAATTTGAAAATCGCTCCACTTTAAAGATAAATATTTGAATTTGTGGAAAAAAATAACTGAAAACTTGCCAATCACATTTTGCATGACCTTGGAGACTTATGATCGTCTGGTCTAATTTTGGACATAAAATGCCAACTGTAGTGAAACCAGATAATGGAATTGAACATTTTCAATAAGTATTATAAAAAATCCATTTTAAAATCCACGTTACGGCTACCTTGAAAAAAAAATCCGATAAAAAATCTACCCCTATGGCTACCTCGAAAAAATATCCGTTAAAAAATCTACGCCTACGGCTACCTCGAAAAAATATCCGTTAAAAAATCTACGCCTACGGCTATCACGAAAAAATATCCGTTAAAAAATCTACACTTAAGGCTACCTCAAAAAAGTATCCGTAAAAAAATCTACACTTAAGGCTACCTCAAAAAATTATCCGTAAAAAAATCTACACTTAAGGCTACCTCAAAAAAGTATCCGTAAAAAAATCTACGCCTAAGGAAATCTCGAAAAAAACTCAGTTAAAACATCTACAAAATATTCCTTTAAAAAATCCACGCCTAAAGCAGCTTCCTCTAAAAAATATTCCTTTAAAAAATCCACGCCTAAAGCAGCTTATTCTAAAAAATATTCCTTTAAAAAATCCACGCCTAAAGCAGCTTCCTCTAAAAAATATTCCTTTAAAAAATCCACGCCTAAAGCAGCTTCCTCTAAAAAATATTCCTTTAAAAAATCCACGCCTAAAGCAGCTTCCTCTAAAAAATATTCCTTTAAAAAATCCACGCCTAAAGCAGCTTCCTCTAAAAAATATTCCTTTAAAAAATCCAAGCCTAAAGCAGCTTCCTCTAAAAAATATTCCTTTAAAAAATCCACGCCTAAAGCAGCTTCCTCTAAAAAATATTCCTTTAAAAAATCCACGCCTAAAGCAGCTTCCTCTAAAAAATATTCCTTTAAAAAATCCACGCCTAAAGCAGCTTCCTCTAAAAAATATTCCTTTAAAAAATCCACGCCTAAAGCAGCTTCCTCTAAAAAATATTCCTTTAAAAAATCCACGCCTAAAGCAGCTTCCTCTAAAAAATATTCCTTTAAAAAATCCACGCCTAAAGCAGCTTCCTCTAAAAAATATTCCTTTAAAAAATCCACGCCTAAAGCAGCTTCCTCTAAAAAATATTCCTTTAAAAAATCCACGCCTAAAGCAGCTTCCTCTAAAAAATATTCCTTTAAAAAATCCACGCCTAAAGCAGCTTCCTCTAAAAAATATTCCTTTAAAAAATCCACGCCTAAAGCAGCTTCCTCTAAAAAATATTCCTTTAAAAAATCCACGCCTAAATCAACATCCTCTAAAAAATATTCCTTTAAAAATCCACGCACTTCAAAAAATTATTCATTTAAAAATCCACGCACTTCAAAAAATTATTCATTTAAAAAATCCACGCCTAAATCAACATCCTCTAAAAAATATTCCTTTAAAAATCCACGCACTTCAAAAAATTATTCATTTAAAAAATCCACGCCTAAATCAACATCCTCTAAAAAATATTCCTTTAAAAATCCACGCACTTCAAAAAATTATTCATTTAAAAAATCCACGCCTAAGGGGGGCATTTCAAAAAATTATTCATTTAAAAAATCCACGTCTAAGGGGAGCACTTCAAAAAATTATTATTCCTCAAAAAATATTCATTTAAAAATCCACGTCTAAGGGGAGCACTTCAAAAAAGTATTATTCCTCAAAAAATATTCATTTAAAAATTCACGCCTAAGGGTATTTGAAAATTTTTTCATTCAAAAAATCCACGCCTAAGAGTACTTGAATAAATATTGATTTAAAAAATCCACGCCTTAAAAAAATATTGATTTAAAAAATGCACGCCTTCAAAAAATATTGATTTAAAAAATGCACGCCTTCAAAAAATATTGATTTAAAAATTCCACGCCTTCAAAAAATATTGATTTAAAAAATCCACGCCTTCAAAAAATATTGATTTAAAAAATACACGCCTTCAAAAAATGTTGATTTAAAAAATCCACGCCTAAGGGTACTTGAAAAAATATTCCTTCAAAAAATCCACGCCTAAGGGTACTTGAAAAAATATTCCTTCAAAAAATCCACGCCTAAGGGTACTTGAAAAAATATTCCTTCAAAAAATCCACGCCTAAGGGTACTTGAAAAAATATTCCTTCAAAAAATCCACGCCTAAGGGTACTTGAAAAAATATTCCTTCAAAAAATCCACGCCTAAGGGTACTTGAAAAAATATTCCTTCAAAAAATCCACGCCTAAGGGTACTTGAAAAAATATTCCTTCAAAAAATCCACGCCTAAGGGTACTTGAAAAAATATTCCTTCAAAAAATCCACGCCTAAGGGTACTTGAAAAAATATTCCTTCAAAAAATCCACGCCTAAGGGTACTTGAAAAAATATTCCTTCAAAAAATCCACGCCTAAGGGTACTTGAAAAAATATTCCTTCAAAAAATCCACGCCTAAGGGTACTTGAAGAAATATTCCTTCAAAAAATCCACGCCTAAGGGTACTTGAAAAAATATTCCTTCAAAAAATCCACGCCTAAGGGTACTTGAAAAAATATTCCTTCAAAAAATCCACGCCTAAGGGTACTTGAAAAAATATTCCTTCAAAAAATCCACGCCTAAGGGTACTTGAAAAAATATTCCTTTAAAAATCCACGCCTAAGGGTACTTGAAAAAATATTCCTTCAAAAAATCCACGCCAAGGGTACTTGAAAAAATATTCATTTAAAAAATCCACACCAAGGGTACTTGAAAAAATATTCCTTTAAAAAATCCACGCCAAAAGGTACTTGAAAAAAGTATTCCTTTAAAAAATCCAACGCCTAGGGGTACTTCAAAAAATATTCGTTAAAAACCATCCATGTCTACGGTTTTGAGTGTCCTATAAAAATATTTTTAAATATTTACCTAAAAATATTCAAATCAGCTATATCATAAATTATTTTACTCTGTTTATGTTCATGTTTGCCATGTGTGAATGTGCAATATTTTTTCGAATTAACAAAATTTTGATTAAAAATTCACTTGCTTACTTTTCTTATCACTATTGTCTTGTTTTTATTTTCAATTTCAGAATTTTGTTTTATTTTTTGTCAAGCTTGTTTTATAACTAAATAAACGCAAAAAATATGGGCAATCCAATCTGGTTTATCTTTTGGTTCTTGGTCTTCTGGTTCATTTCATTCTTTGTGGCATTCTTCTGTGCTGCCTTCTACATTATTCTGTTGATCTTTACGACATGTTTCCCCGGTTTGACGGTAAGTAAATTTTGTTGTGTGGATACCCAAAGTAAACAGAGAAGGAGAATATCTCTCTACCACGCTCTCTAAGAAATTATATCTTGTATTTTCTATCGCATGCTATAAATTTTATTATACCTTTTTTCTATCACCCTCTTGCAGTCAATTACCGACATTCTATTGCAATGCCTACAATTCCCCCACTACTGTGCCAAGGCCATGATGGAGTGCAGACAACCCTTCTAAATTATTCGCCATTGTAGAATCTTCTTGACTTAATGTTGCAGTTGATTAAAATTTCTATTTAAATGTAAATTGCATTTTGTTTATTTTTTTTATAAATTAATATTATTTATTTACATAACATTAAAGTACAATTAATTATAAATAATTTTAACACAAATAAAATTTTTTATTTTTTAGAAGAAGCTTTAGGCGTGGATTTTTTAAATGAATATTTTTTAGAGGAAGCTTTTTTTGGCGTGGATATTTTGAAGAAAGCTTTAGGCGTGGATTTTTTTAAAGGAAGCTTTAGGCGTGGATTTCTTAAACGAAGCTGTAGGCGTGGATTTTTTAAAGGAAGCTTTAGGCGTGGATTTCTTAAAGGAAGCTGTAGGCGTGGATTTTTTAAAGGAATATTTTTTGGAGGAAGCTGCTTTAGGCGTAGATATTTTAAAGAGAGCTTTAGGCGTGGATTTTTTTAAAGGAAGCTGTAGGCGTGGATTTTTTAAAGGAAGCTTTAGGCGTGGATTTTTTAAAGAAGCTTTAGGAGTGGATTTTTTAAAGAAGCTTTAGGCGTGGATTTTTTAAAGAAGCTTTAGGCGTGGATTTTTTAAAGGAAGCTTTAGGCGTGGATTTTTTAAAGGAAGCTTTAGGCGTGGATTTTTTAAAGGAAGCTTTAGGCGTGGATTTTTTAAGGGAAGCTTTAGGCGTGGATTTTTTAAAGAAGCTTTAGGCGTGAATTTTTTAGAGGAAGCTTTGGGTGTGGATTTTTTAAAGAAAGTTGTAGGCATGGATTTTTTAAAGAAAGTTGTAGGCATGGATTTTTTAAAGAAAGTTGTAGGCATGGATTTTTTAAAGAAAGTTGTAGGCATGGATTTTTTAAAGGAAGCTTTAGGCGTGGATTTTTTACAGAAAGCTTTAGGCATGGATTTTTTAAAGGACGCTTTAGGCGTGAATGTTTTTAAAGGAAGCTTTGGGCGTGGATTTTTTAAAGGAAGCTTTAGGCGTGGATTTTTTAGAGGAAGCTTTGGGTGTGGATTTTTAAAGGAAGTTTTAGGCATGGGTTTTTTAAAGGAAGCTTTAGGCGTGGATTTTTTACAGAAAGCTTTAGGCGTGGATTTTTTAAAGGAAGCTTTAGGCGTGGATTTTTTAAAGGAAGCTTTAGGCGTGGATTTTTTAAAGGAAGCTTTAGGCGTGGATTTTTTAAAGGAAGCTTTAGGCGTGGATTTTTTAAAGGAAGCTTTAGGCGTGGATTTTTTAAAGGAAGCTTTAGGCGTGGATTTTTTAAAGGAAGCTTTAGGCGTGGATTTTTTAAAGGAAGCTTTAGGCGTGGATTTTTTAAAGGAAGCTTTAGGCGTGGATTTTTTAAAGGAAGCTTTAGGCGTGGATTTTTTAAAGGAAGCTTTAGGCGTGGATTTTTTAAAGGAAGCTTTAGGCGTGGATTTTTTAAAGGAAGCTTTAGGCGTGGATTTTTTTAAAGGAAGCTTTAGGCGTGGATTTTTTAAAGGATCCACAACGGAGAGATTTTTTAAAGGAAGCTTTAGGCGTGGATTTTTTAAAGGAAGCTTTAGGCGTGGATTTTTTAAAGGAAGCTTTAGGCGTGGATTTTTTAAAGGAAGCTTTAGGCGTGGATTTTTTAAAGGAAGCTTTAGGCGTGGATTTTTTAAAGGAAGCTTTAGGCGTGGATTTTTTAAAGGAAGCTTTAGGCGTGGATTTTTTAAAGGAAGCTTTAGGCGTGGATTTTTTTAAAGGAAGCTATAGGCGTGGATTTTTTAAAGGAATATTTTTAGAGAAAGCTATAGGCGTGGATTTTTTAAAGGAATATTTTTAGAGAAAGCTATAGGCGTGGATTTTTTAAAGGAATATTTTTAGAGAAAGCTATAGGCGTGGATTTTTTAAAGGAATATTTTTAGAGAAAGCTATAGGCGTGGATTTTTTAACGGAAGCTTTAGGCGTGGATTTTTTAAAGGAATATTTTTAGAGAAAGCTATAGGCGTGGATTTTTTAAAGGAATATTTTTAGAGAAACCTATAGGCGTGGATTTTTTAAAGGAATATTTTTAGAGAAACCTATAGGCGTGGATTTTTTAAAGGAATATTTTTAGAGAAAGCTATAGGCGTGGATTTTTTAAAGGAATATTTTTAGAGAAAGCTATAGGCGTGGATTTTTTAAAGGAATATTTTTAGAGAAAGCTATAGGCGTGGATTTTTTAAAGGAATATTTTTAGAGAAAGCTATAGGCGTGGATTTTTTAAAGGAATATTTTTAGAGAAAGCTATAGGCGTGGATTTTTTAAAGGAATATTTTTAGAGAAAGCTATAGGCGTGGATTTTTTAAAGGAATATTTTTAGAGAAAGCTATAGGCGTGGATTTTTTAAAGGAATATTTTTAGAGAAAGCTATAGGCGTGGATTTTTTAAAGGAATATTTTTAGAGAAAGCTATAGGCGTGGATTTTTTAAAGGAATATTTTTAGAGAAAGCTATAGGCGTGGATTTTTTAAAGGAATATTTTTAGAGAAAGCTATAGGCGTGGATTTTTTAAAGGAATATTTTTAGAGAAAGCTATAGGCGTGGATTTTTTAAAGGAATATTTTTAGAGAAAGCTATAGGCGTGGATTTTTTAAAGGAATATTTTTAGAGAAAGCTATAGGCGTGGATTTTTAAAGGAATATTTTTAGAGAAAGCTATAGGCGTGGATTTTTTAAAGGAAGCTTTAGGTGTAGATTTTTTAACGGAAGCTTTAGGCGTGGATTTTTTAACGGAAGCTTTAGGTGTAGATTTTTTAACGGAAGCTTTAGGCGTGGATTTTTTAACGGAAGCTTGAGGCGTAGATTTTTTAACGGAAGCTTTAGGCGTAGATTTTTTAACGGAAGCTTTAGGCGTAAATTTTTTAAATGATGCTTTAGGCGTAGATTTTTTAAATGAGGCTTTAGGCGTAAATTTTTTAATTTAAATGATGCTTTAGGCGTAGATTTTTTAAATGAGGCTTTAGGCGTAGATTTTTAAAATGAAGCTTTAGGCGTAGATTTTTTAAATGAAGCTTTAGGCGTAGATTTTTAAAATGAAGCTTTATGCGTAGATTTTTTAAATGAAGCTTTAGGCGTAAATTTTTTAAATTATGCTTTAGGCGTAGATTTTTAAAATGAAGCTTTAGGCGTAGATTTTTTAAATGAAGCTTTAGGCGTAGATTTTCAAAATGAAGCTTTAGGCGTAGATTTTCAAAATGAAGCTTTAGGCGTAGATTTTTTAAATGAAGCTTTAGGCGTAGATTTTAAACATGAAGCTTTAGGCGTAGATTTTTTAAATGAAGCTTTAGGCGTAGATTTTTAAAATGAAGCTTTAGGCGTAGATTTTAAAAATGAAGCTTTAGGCGTAGATTTTTTAAATGAAGCTTTAGGAGTAGTTTGTTCAAAGGAATATTGTTTGGATTTTTTAAATGAAGCTTTAGGAGTAGTTTGTTCAAAGGAATATTGTTTGGATTTTATAAATGAAGCTTTAGGCGTAGATTTTTAAAATGAAGCTTTAGGCGTAGATTTTTTAAATGAAGCTTTATAAGTAGTTTGTTCAAAGGAATATTGTTTGGATTTTTTAAAGGAATATTTTTTGAAGCAATTTTAAGCATTTTAAATTAATTATAGTTTTAAAGAATCTTTAAAGCTTTAGGCGTATGTTGCCTTAAGGAATATTTTTTAACATTTTATAATATTTCTAAAGATTTATACGTGGTTTTTTAAGAATATTTTTTGAATAACTATCAAAGTTGAAGGTTTGTTTTTTTTTTTAGTTTGGACAACTTTCAACGCTTTAGTTTTTCAGAACTATAAAAGTTTTAAGCTCTTTAAAGAATATATTTTTAAGAACTATCAAAAATTTAATACGTAATGAATACTTTTTAAGAAACTATTAAAGCTATTAAAGGTTTTATGAAGAACTTTTAAAACTTTATTGAAAAACATTTGTTTTAACTGCCAAAGCTTTGCAACGTATTTTTAAGAGTATATTTTAAAGAACTAACAAAGCTTTAGACGTGGTTGTTTTAGGATTTTTTAAGAAGTATCAAATCCGTAGACTTCTTTAAGAATATTTTTTAAAGAACTATCAAAGCTTTGGGCGTGTTTTAAAGAATGTTTTTTCGAAGAACTCTTAAGGCTTTAGTCGTGTTTTTGTAAGAATATTTTTGAAGAAGTTCCAAACCTAATTGATGTTATTAAAGATTTTTGTTTAGCCTATAATTTTTTCTTGTGATTTAAAGGCCCTCGGAAGCTTTTGGGCTAGAGGTTTTATTGCGAAACACCCATAATTATTTGGTGCCTCAATATGTTCATCCCTGGCTAAGGACGAAAGCTTTCGCCATCTGAAATAAAATATACCTGAAGCTTTTTTGTTACAATCAGCTGAATTGGAACCAAAACAAAGAAACCCAAATAAACAGTGGCTGTTGTTAGTCAAGGAAAAGTTTTCCGGCCGGTGGGTAAATGAAGGTATAAAGCTTTTTTTTACGGGTGTTTTGGTATTTGTTTTTTTTTTTTTTGTGGAAATGCCAGAACAAAGCGCAACAACAAAAAATGAGAGAAAATTTAGAGATAATCAAAAAATAATCATAAATGTGTTATACCGTTTGAAAATGCAAAGCTTTTTGTGTTTGGTTTGCCTCTTACCTTTAAAAAAATATGCCGAGGGTATTTGATTGTACCTTCGGATGCTTTTTCTTTTAACATGGATGCGTGTGTTTGTTTGGAGAATTTGCTCGTTCGTCCGCTCGGTTGGGACCTGTGAAAAAATTCGATGGCAAACGTAAGTCGTCTTTCCGAACGTGAGTTGCTTGCAAAGCGGACGGTTGATTCTTAATAGAAAAAAGAAGAAAAAAGCAAAAAAAAAAAAAAATAAAAAGAAGAATACAAAAATTATTACAAATTTGAGAAAAAATTAAGAAAAAATCTTGATTTTGTTGTGACAAAAATTACAAAACCAAATGTGATAATAAATTTCTTGGTTTTATTAAAAAAAGTTTCTAATTGAATTCCTTTATGTTGGTGCTGTTGTTGTTTAAA